AAACACACTCAGAGAACATCTACATTCTGGGATAGACTGAGGAGGATGCATTTTCCTCACCTGGTTTGTCACAGTCAGTGGGTATTGAATCAGGTTGTGTTCTTGTTCCTGGTCTCTCCTGTCCCCTACTGTCCACACACCAACAGTATCCAGTGGAACCATGACACTGAAATACACAGTAACAGTAATCATAATGACAGAGCAATGACATTATGTCTCCATGTCGTCATAAATTAAAACAAGAACTTACCTGTTGAGATCTGTACTGTCCATTAGCATCGCACTCAGGTATAAAGGCTCCAACAATAGGATATCCCTCTGGACTGGTAGTCTGTACACTGTCTCTGTGGTGCTCACAGTGAGTTTTAGGACGCTCTGGTTCGTCTGGAGAGATAAAGATATACAAAATGGAAAATAATAATAATTATTTTCTAGAAGACCAGCTTCTAGAGAAAAAAACAACTTTGAAAACTCAGATGTTGCCATCAAGCAATCACTCTTTGATGCATTTAGATACAATAGACTGTCAGTGGTCACCTGGTTTGTCACAGTCTCTAGGTGGTGTACCAGATGGAGTTCTGGTTCCTGTTCTCTCCTGCCCCCTACTGTCCACACACCAACAATGTCCAGTAGAGCCGTGACACTGTAATGAATTATTAAACATTTCCAAATCAGTATGTCACTTAACTCATGTCAACAGTCAGCCACGTACATTTACCACCAGTCAATGCTCACCTGCAGTGTTCGGTACCGTCCCTCAGAGTCGCACTGGGGGATGAAGGCTCCAAGTTTTGTTCGACCACCTTCTTCAAATCCACTCTGCAGACTGTCTCTGTGCTGTTCACACTGGGTCTTTGGACGAACTGTCTGTCCTGTAGTCAAATAATTAAAACATATGTGTTTTATATGTGTTGTCATTTATACAGAATATCCAGAAGCTATTTCCACATTGCATACACGTTGATAAGTACATGTTTTTCTTTCTTTCTGGCAATTTTACTGACCTTGCTGCTGGGAACAGTAGAAACCATCACCATAAAACCCAGGCTGGCACTGACACTGGAAGGAACCCAGTCCATTGATACATCTGGCACTGATGTGACATGGAGAGGTGCTGCACTCATCTATATCTAAAAAACAGAGGGAGTACATCCTCAATATAAACTCCACATATTTATACTGAAACATATAAATGATGTTTGGTTTCTTATCAATATTTATTTGGTGATTTTGGATCATTATATAAAATATCTGCATTATCTATCGAGGGAGAAAGGGAGGGTTTAAGGGAAGTTCATCAAAAGTTCACACTGATGGGTGAAAAGAGGACACACACACACACACACACACAGACACACCGGCAGGACCTCTCTCCTCCACACATTCCAAGAAAAACACACATTGTGTCATTGCTCCATTTGTCTTTCACTTTCACCCCCTCTCCTGTCTAATCTCACCCTCTCCTTCTCACATTAGTCTCTCTCATTCCCACTCTTGTTCTCACATTTCTCACCCATCCTCCCCTCTTGCTGTGTTTCCTAGCTTTTGCAGCTGTGCGTTACTGTTGTGGAAGAAATGTTATGCCTTTGCTTGGACAAATATGTGGGTCTCTTCCAAATATTCAGCTCATTTTGGAACATGCAGGAAAACCTCTCTTGTGTGACTGAGTCTGACAACCAAACCATGGAAAGGACATGAAGATGGAAGAATGACATGTTTGCCATTGTAATAAAGTATATGTTTACAGAGGGTTTCTTTTTATTTGCATGTGAAGAGCTTCACATTTATCACAATTACAGTGCATGCAGGAAGACAGGCGGACACTGCCTGACTCAGCACAAAGCAGCACGTTCAGTGGTTGTAAATTACGTTGTTCTAAAGTCAAACCTTTATGTTTAGTGGCTTTAGCTGATATCATTGATGATGTACTATTAGTTAAATGATGGAGTGTCATAGAGCTCAGCTCAAAGACTACCAACTACAATGGGCTTGTCATTCACTCTAGAGACTAATTAACAGGTGTTGAAAGACAAAAAGCACATTAGACGGGATCCTGCTTAGGGAACTTTCAAGTACTGAAAAGTTTCTTTACTGGGTATTAATTTGGCTCTAGGGATGTAATGTCAGTTTTGTTCCTGTCTAAAACATCTCAAAAAATTTATTGATTGGATTGCCATGACATTTGATAATCGTAATAACGTTGGTGACCATCAGGTTCAGTCACACAAATGACCCTGTAAAGCAAGAGACTACATAACTTTGGCTAAAGAGACCTTTGAAACAGTGCCACTGTGGCCCTAAGTGACAATACAGGGTAATGGTAAATACCGTAGTGTTATGAAACGGAAGGGTCATAAAATCAGCAAACTGGCTCGGTAATGTCACCATAAGCTCCTGGTCATACCAAACAAAATAAGGTTGTAGTGGTAAAACCTCAGATTGTATTGAAGTGACTCAGGATGTGTTTACCACTGTGCCCAGATACAGCCTAAAGACTCTTGAGTCTTGTTCCCAGTCAGAGCTCAAATTCATGTCATGCGTGCATACTGTACACTGTAGTCTTGTCTTTAGTATATCTCACTCATTGCTACTCACCAACACAGGTATGCCCGTCGAAGCCAAACTCATAGCCACTCTGGCACTGGCAGCGATGGCTACCAGGCAGGTTCACGCACTGAGCATGAGCACCGCACGAAGTCAAGCTCTCCGCACACTCATCTACGTCTGCAGTGAGAGAAAAAGAGAGAAAGTGAGACATGAGCCTGTAAACCAGGAATCCCCGATCTAACAACTTGTAGCATTTGAGTATAAAAACTGCAATTAAGGGTGGAATTAAATGGATTCTGGACTGCATTCTTAAATGTACTGTGCAACATACAGGACAAAACCTCAATGATAATGTGACCAAAGAGAGACACTGAGGCCCAGTCATGGGAACTAAGGCTGAGCCTGGGGCTTTCCTAGTGCTATCAGCAGGAGAGAAAGACCTGCTGCTGGGCTAATGACAGGCCATGCACCAGCTTAAAGCCCTGCAAGGCCCTGTTAACTACAGATTAACCTGGAGGAGGAGGGAGAGGCAGAGAGGGACGAAGAGAAGAGCGTAAGATGATTCATTCCATCCCGCCTGTACTTGACCCCTCTACACTAGATGGACAGATGTTGATTAAACACAGACAAACTGCCTTGAACTGTCTTTAACTTTGTCAGCATGTGTTTGTGTGTGTAAGTGTGTGAGACTAAACATAGCACCATAAAATACTTTGCAATGTACATACAATGACATGCTGTATATCCAGAAAGACTTCTCTAACAGGATGCTGTACGTGTACATGCAAGCCCGTACCGTAACAGTTGCGTCCATCCCCTCTGTAACCAGTAGCACACTGGCACTGGAAGGCCTGGCCCTCCAGTGGGATACACTGGGCTGTGGTGTCACAGTCATGGTTCCCAGCGTAGCAGGGGTTGACCAGCTCCGGCCCTGTTGACTCAACTACAGAGTGGAGGAGAGACACATTAAATGTCATGAGGGATAAAAGATAAAGAAGATCCTTACAATACAATAATGTACAAAACTGAAAAATGATGTCAAAATTACAAGTACCCATTATGCAGAATGGACCCTTCTGACTGATATATAACATTATTCGACTGTTAATACTGATTACTCAGTAAGTAGCAATTTACCATTATAGCTACTTTATATACAATTTGGTAGTTTACTGCAGTGGTTCCCAAACACCAAAAGGGTAACAAGAAAAAGCTGAGGGTTCTGGAGATGATTAAGGAGGTACTTAAACTTGTGAAAAAGGTTGAAAACCATTGGTTTAATCTGTAACAATGCATTGCACAAATCTTATGATATGTTATAATGTAAGATTTTAATCAGAACAGATTAAGGTTGGTGGTTAAGATAAGATGTTCCTTAAGATGTTATTATTGGTTTGATCCCTGTCCTGTCCCACATGTTGTCCTTGAGCAAGACACTGAACCCCTAATTGCTCTCAATCGTTCAGAGCAGCATGTGGATACATTTGTGAGCACAACAGGGATAAAAGCGTTGTTACTTGTAAACTCAAGTAGCAACATTTAGCACCACTGGCATCATGTAAACTGTGAACTGTATAATTGGCTAGTGTAAATGTAAAAACACCACAGTAAGAAGGATTTAGCAGCACAGATAGAGGTTGAATAAAACAACAACAGTTAATACGTTTCAAATAAACCTGAAGAGACAGAAAAACATTAAAGTATTTCCTGTGCATGCAGAAACACATGGCAAGAAAAATGTGCTGCACAGACTCTGCAACACTCCAAATATCCTGAATTGAGATTAATTGAGATCTGTATTATTCACCAGTAAAAGTCCCAATGATTACAGTGATGATTACAAGATAGCCTAACCAAACACACATGTAAAATCACTCCAGACAGACTCCCATAGGACGGTTTCCTCTTAGGAAGTGACTCCCTTCATGTTCTCAATAGTCAACATATGGATGAGGTTAGATGCACATATACATGAGAGAGATGCACAGACAGAGGGATGAGTGAGCAGATGTGTGTCCTTCATACCAACGTACATCTCAGACACACTAAAAATGTTAAACAACAACCCTCATACTTGTTTCTGGAAGAGTGAAGAAAACCATGGGAAATCATTAGAAAAGAATGTGAAAGACTTAAATAAATATGCTTAGAATTAAGTGACTGTGCTTCAAAATAAATCAGGATGGGTGGCACAGTGGGAATCGGGAACTGGTGTCAAGAGCCTTTCTCTAGGCACTGTATCTGAACCACTGCGGTTCAATAGTACTGGTTTCAAGTGATATTCTTGTTTGATGTCCCACAGTTTAAATAATGCTCTAAAAACATAGTAAATACCGAAAGAAAATGTGTTTTGAGATGTCTTTCCTGTCACATTGTCTAAATATCTCTTGAAAATAATGTTGCTTTTAATGGAGAACCTTTCCTCTACATACCATCTAGATATTATTCCAAATATGGCATTTATTAAGGTTATATAGAGAGTTTCAATGTCTGCATAGTTTAACTTCTATTTAAGGAAGAAAAAAAAAGAGCTTTGGAGTCCAGTTGGTCATAATGTCTACACATGTGCAGTTAGCCACAAGAATAAGAAAAGCAAACCACCTTAAAGAAAATGTCAGTAATATCTGTTTTTAATGATGTTTAAGTGTTTTAAGAGGGGCTTTTTCTTTACAATGAAGGGCATTATCCACCCTAAACAACACCACACACACTTACACCTAAACAAAATCAAACACACAGACATTAGACACAGCTTGCCTCCATCTCTTACAGCCAGAGGCCAGTTTTGGCTCATTATCAAAGAGAGGGAGACTCTTCAAAGTCCTGAATGTGGCCGGGAAGAAGGGGAGATGAGAGGGTGAGATACATGTGGATGGGAGAAAAGACTGAGGGATAATTAGAGAGAGAGAGAGAGAGA